TTCTGAGTTCCAGTCCTTTAAAATCTCAAAATCTATATTCTCAACTAGTAAAAGTGCCTCAAACTGTTGTTGAAGGTTAAGTGAGATAATACATTTTGGTGCCTGGCACAAATTAATATTATAGTAGTAGTACTAATAGTAGAATGCCAATGAAGTTTGCAAGAGGTTACTAGCATCTTTTAAATAATCATCTTTAGCACAGGGGAGAGTTGTGATTAACAAGACCATAGTGGTTAAGAAATAATGTTGTGGAGTGAGGATAATCTATTTTGTCTGTAGAGCCTACAGAAAAATAACTGTTTTGTAATCTTTTTATCACTCCGTATTCCACCTTCAACCCATGCCTGGGATAGTACTTGGTCCATATGAAGGCTGTAACAAATGCTTGCTGAACAAGAGAAAACTGAGCCAACAGGAAAGAATAAATGAAGAGAAGATCTTAGTTCTACAAAGAATCTTAGAGGAAACAGTATTAGGAGCATAAAATTATCCTTGGAAAGGAGTAGAGATGCTTTATTCTCTGAATCAGGGGAACAGAAGGTTAAATATAGGGAGAAGATTAGGAAATTCACATTGGATGGGCAGCCTCTACCCTTTTAATAAATAAATAAAAGTTCTCTGCACAGAGTAGCGGTATTACAAGGTCAGCTTGAAATCTGAGGTAAATAAATTAGTTGATTCCCCCTTTCTAATATATAGTTGACTTCATATCTGTAGCCAACATGCTGGTCCAGTTCTCTACAACCTGCCAGATTATATCAGTAGCCTCCTAGGCAGCTACTGACTTTCCCTTTCCCAAGGTGTGCTATATTCCCTAGAAAGTCCATATTTTCTCCTATTATGTCCACCACGACAACTCTTAAGAGAAGTCAACCCCTCTTGGAGACTTCTCTCATCCTCTACCCATTAAGACAATTTATCATTCTCTCCTCTGGCTACTATTGGTCTACTTCTCTGTTCCTTGTACATTACTGTTGCATATTGCAATCACTTCTTTATGTCTGTTCCAATAAACCCCTTAAAAGGGGGTAATATCTTCCTCATTTTTATTGCTCCCATACTTAATTCAGCATCTGGTATATAATAATAGGTGTTTAGTCAATAACTATTGTGTCTAACTGAAGTGAACAAATGAGTAAGCTCCTAACTAGAAGAAATAAGAAAACAAAGTGTTCAAATCTACTTCATTTCAGATAACCTTCCTACTTTTCTAGGTATTAAACAGCAACCAAGATAGTCGACTTTTTTATTCTTACTAATGGAGAAGTAAAAGATCTAAGTTAGATAATCAAAAATTACAAAACTCAACTGTACTTTTAAATAAATTATATTCTAATAATTATATTTAACTACAGGTGTGTCCATGTTCTGGGAATTCACTTTGAACATAATAATTCAATCATACCAGGAGGAGCTTACCCCAGAAGAACACTGTACCTTTTCAAGTTATTCAGTACTGGGAAGAGATGAACTAATAGAATGATAAACAGTCTATCCTCGTAGTAGGAGTAGCTAAGGAGAACATTTGGGTTTCAAAATACATTTTGGCATGCAATATAGAGAGAGTATTTAATGATATCAATAGCAAAACAATGAAGCTTGAATACCATAATTCCTTATTAACAAGTTTGTAATATTCAAAACGATTTTATGAAACATTTCTAATGTGATTTAAAGAATTTTGATTTCACAGTGCAGGAAGGCAACTAACATTAAATATCACTCACAAAGTATCCCATCTTATGATGAATAATTAAGAACTAGCTCATTTACTTTTCACATTCTTAATAACCCTTCGAAGTTATCTCTTCTTTTTGAGATAAAGAAATCAGGAGTTAAACAAGGTCAAATAACTTGCCCCAAATCACTCAACTATTAAGTATCACAGCTGAGATTACAACCCAGAATTATTTGACTTTATAGTCAGCTCTCTTTTCACTACACATTGATGGCTCCTTTAGGGATGACAATGACCATAACCTCTATTTTATAATGAACTTTATCAGATATCTACACAATGAATTTCTCAAAACTTATATAAAAACAATTAGAATTAGAGAAAACACTGCCTTAGCATTAAACAAAAAAAATTTTGGTTGCCCAAACTTTATCTTTTTACATATTGTAATACAATCCACAAGCAGCTGTCCTTCAGCGGCAATCCAGACTGCCTCAGTTCTCAAATTATTACTAAAGTTTAATTCTTCATGAATTTACTTCATGTTAGATCCACAAGCCTTCCTTGAACAATGAAACGCCTGTTAGAATAACAATTTTTTAAAACAATAGCGTCACTGTACAAGGAATCTAACTCGGATTACTTTTTTATTCTAAACTTTATGATTTAGGAATATAGATATCATACAACCTCTCATTCTTTGTTGTACTTTTGCAATCAGTTTCAAATGGCTGTGTACGTTTCATTTCAAACTTCAATACATTTTGTCGGGGCAAGCAGAAATAACATTTCCTCCACTTTTTATAGTATCTTGGAAACACCTATGGACCTAATTAGGTGCTTACTAAATACTCAGGTAATACACCATTTTAAATAGTAAACATACAGTTATTTGTGTATCTGAGTAAAACTGGAATAAACCAAAAGTATCAAATCAAATTTTTACATAAGTTTTTCTACAACTCCAAATTTTAACACCAGAGAAACTACTATGATAGGAGTTCAACAAACTCAATTTAAGGTATAACTCTAATATATTTCCAGCACATCTAAGCAGGCTTTTTTTTTTTTTTTTTTTTTTTTTTGAGACAGAGTCTCACTCTGTTGTTCAGACTGGAATACAGTGGCATCATCATAGTTCACTACAAACTCAAACTCCTGGGCCCAAGCGATTCTCTTGCCTCAGCCTCCTGAATAGCTGGGACTATAGGTCTGCAACATCATTCCCAGCTAATTTTTCTATTTTTTGTAGAGATGAGGTCTCTCTTGCTTAGGTTGGTCTCCAAATCCTGGCCTCAAGCAATCCTCCAGCCTCTGCCTGCCAAAGTGCTAGGATTACAGGCATGAGCCACCAAGGTTGGCCCTAAGCAGGTTTTAATGCATAAATTAAGACTCAAGTTTATCTAATAAGTTAGTTCTATTTTCATCTCCATCTAAAATATATATACTTGTATATAAATTAAATCACTAATAAACTACTCCTTTTACAGACCTGAAATACTAAATTATTATCCTTATTTTGTGAGGAAGTTTACTAGAAAATCTATTTCATATAGATTTTTCATGTGTGTGCTATATAGTCAAGTTTCCAAACCGTTGCACAAAAGTCAAAACTTTACATCTTTCTATACTAATTCTTAATACCTAGCTGCTGAAACAATGTTCCAAATTAGTGCATTGGTGATCTAATTAGTAGATAGTACTTAACCCCTACTATATTGTATTTTTTTTTTTTTTTTTTTT